CTGTCTTACTATAAAAAATAAAAAGGGCTCTAGATATAGCCCAATAGTAGAGTACTCCTGGATTTAATCCCCAGGAGGGGAAAACAACAACAAAAACAATTTATGTCAGAACATATGAAGAGCTCCTAAAAGTAAAGAAAAATGGCTGGGAACATAGCTCAGTGGTACAATATGGGCTTAGCAATGCACAAGGCTCTGGGTTTGATTACTAGCACACACATGTACCTGCACACATAAAGAGAGAAGAAAAAGAAAAGAAAGATTGGAGCTGGGATTATGGCTCAGAGGTAGAGTGCTTGCCTAGCATTCGTGAGACACTGGGTTCGGTTCTCAGCACCACATAAAAATAATAAAATAAAGTTATTGTGTACACCTATAACTAAAAACTAAATGTTAAAAAAAGAAAGACAAACACAAGAAATATAGGCAAAGGATAGAACTAGAAAATTCACAGCTAGGCATGGCGGTGCACACCTATAATCCCAATAATTTGGGAAACTGAGACAGGATAATCATCAAGTTCAAGGTCAGCCTCAGCAATTTAGCAAGGCTCTGTCTCAAAATAAAAAACAAAAAAAGAAGGCTGGGGATATAGCTCAGTTGGTAGAGTGCTTGCTCCACATGCACAAGGCCCTGGGTTCAATCTCCCCCCACACACACACACAAAAGGGGGGGGCTGGGGATCCCTGGGTTAAATCCTCAGTTAAAAAAATTAAATTAAATTTTAAAAAATAAATTAATAAAAAAATCCACAAGACTCAAATCCTAATAAGTTGTATTTTCTTCCCTTGGTTTTCAGACCATTTCCCCCTGTGGCTTCAACCGCTCCTTATGCTTCTGTTGATGCCTTATGCTTCTGTTGATGCTCCTTTCTTGCACCCCCTAAACCTTGTAGCACCCAGTGCACTGTCTTTGGTCCTCTTTTCTTGTCTACACCCACTCACTGGAAACTTCATCCAGTCTCAGGTTCTCAACCTGTCTCCTTGGGTTGCTGTTCTACGCCAGGTTTTAAAACACTGCAATGAACTTGTTTTAAGAACTCATCATTTTTATGTATTTTGGTGCTGGAGGAGGAGGTTTCATGGATTTATGTGTGTAAATGCTTATGTATATTCAAGACATTATTTCTATAGGTGCAAAGGTACATGTATGACTATGTGTGTGGAAAAGCCCAGGCAGCGAAACACTGAGTTATTATCAGTATTTATCTTTACAGTGTGGGATTACTAGAACTTTTAAAATATCATTAGGATCATCAAACAAAACTTGTGGTGTTGTCTATACATATAACCTAAGTGTGTAACAATGGGTTACGTGGGTTAGTGCTCATCCACACTTAGAACTATATACAACCGTTAGAAAAGCATGTTCGATATGGTAAAATTATCATCATTAGATTCTAGATAAAACAGATGCCAGATATACGTTCTAGATAGCATGATGCGTTTTATCCATTAAAAAAACAAAACAAAACAACAACAACAAAAAAACTGTGCCTAGAGAAAAGATTGCAAGGAAATGTATCAAAATGTTACCTGCGCATCTCTCCAGGTGCTGGTGTGAAAAGCGATTTTAGCGATTTTTAGCTTCGAGTATTTTTCAATTTCCGAAAAAAAAAA